CATGCATGCCTTCAATATATTGTTTTGTTTTTCTCTGCCAAAGTTGCTTCTACCTCTGTATTTTTAAGTTTCAGAATGTCTCATTTTCTTCCTCAGAACCACTACTTCTTTGGAGAGTTTTCCGTTGTGTGCTCTAAGTTTTCTCTCCTGTTGTTTGTCTTTGTTAATTCAGCTTTGAGAGCTCTGATTTCCAATCTTTCTTTCTTTTTAGGTATCAGGGGTAAGGTGCTAATAGAGAAATACCCTAAAAACTAGTTTATTTGGAATTCTGTCAATAGGAAATAATCTTTAACAGGTGCATCTTATTACTAATATAATAATTACCCTGAACCACAAGAAGCTCCAAAAGTGCCTTTATAATCATCAAAGAAATATTAATTGTTAAAATATATTCAGTGTTGGTATTATTTGTATTTTTTTAATATTTTAATTTGAAAGTCCATGGATAGGACTTAGATAGAGTATGGATAAAGTCCATGGAAAGAGATTTAGAGTAGCTATTTACTGAGGATAGCATTTTTTCCAGGAACCTATGGAAGCTCTGTCCCAAAGTTTCTTGGACAAGAAGCATCCTTATTTCTGGCCTTCAAAGTGATGAGTGAGAAAGCATGGATGGCTATCCTAATACCTTCTTTTAAAAGTTGCATCTCTCTTTAGAATCATTCTGTAGTTTTTTGCTTTTGTTTCATTTTCTTTGGGAAGCCCACAGAACTCTTTTTTCCACTGAAGATTTTTGGTTCACTTTCCTTCATAGGCTATTATACTGTGTTTCATGGCCTTTAAATTTTTTTTGTTGCTCAGTTTTTCTTCTTTGTGAGTAACATTCATTTTATCTGTTCAGCATCTGGCTTATACACAGCCTTTCTCTCTTAGTCTTTTTTTGTCTTTCATGATTTTTCCTTCTGTTCCCACTAGCTTACTTCTGACTTCCCTCCTCTCTCTTCTGGCTTTTTCCTTTTCCACTTCTGCACAGACCCCTTGAGATTGGGCATCCTCAGTCTAATTGGGTTAGGGGTTCTGAGGGTCTGGCTAGGTCCCTGCTTGAGGTAAACTCTGTAGAGAAGACCTGATCCTAGGTGGGATTCTAGCCCCCTTTCTCTTGGGCATGGAACCTCTTCCCGTCTGGCTGGCTCGGCAATGCCAAGTTTTCTAACCCCTGCCATAGCTGGAATCCCTTTCCTTCAAATGGCTTGGCAGAATTAATGTCTTCTTACTCTTTTGGAGGAGGGGCTGGGAGAGACGTGGTGGGGAGAGGGGATTTAGAGGAGAGGGGATTTAGATTTATTCACTACCATGGGAAAACCAAGCAGGATCCCCTACAATTAGACCTTTAAATAGAAGTTTGCCAGGTTGCTAGAGCTGGCTGCCTGTGCCCAGGGCACATGGTGGGCTGAGGGTTGGGTTGGTGAGTGGGAGCTTTAAATATATAAGTTCTCCATTATTATTTCATGAGCTTTTTATATCCTACTGTATTTCTGTCTTCCCATATTGAAGACTTACATTTAATTACTCTAGATTTAGAGTTTCTTTCTTTTGAGACTTTTTAGGCTGGCTATATATGAAACCAGGGCACCTATCCCCCAGGCTTGTTGTGAGGATAAAGATAATATACAAAGTGCTTCACAAATCTTAAAATCTTATACAAATGTTAGAGTGTCTTTCTCCAAGATTCCTTTGCCTACTCTGCACCTCAAGTGTCCTGGGAACAAATCCAAATATTTTTAGCTCTTGCTTCATTCTTCACTTGTCTTAGGAGCACACCCCTAACAGAGTATACTAGCTAGCATTTATATAATACCTTAAGGTTTTCAAAGCACTTTACAGACAGTATCTCATTTTTTTCCTCACTGCAACCTTGAAAGGTAGGTACTACTATTATCCCCATTCTACAGATGACCTAGGTGAGGCAGGGAGAGAGGTTAAATGACTTGCTCAGGATCACACAGCTAGAAAACGTCTGAGGAAGGATGTGAACTCAGTCCCAGAGTTCTACCCATTGAGCAACCTAGCTGCTTATTGACTGACTGAGTCAAGAACAGAAGGCAGAATCCTTAGAATTCTGGTGTAACACCACCGAAGAGTATTTGCTTTTTAAGAGGGAATTCTTGCAAAATTCAAAGGAAGAAAATTATAGGAAGGGAATAACAGGCAGTGATGTTGATATATTGAGGTAGGGATCACTGTCCATGAAGTACTCCCTTATATCACACCAGAATCCTAGAGAAGAAGCAGAATGAGTGACTCTACTTTAGTACTTTTCTGACCCTTTACTTTTGCAATCACTTCCTTAAGCATATAGATTCTCCTGTCTCAAAGGAAACCCAGAGCTTGGTGGTAACCCAGACAAGAGGAGAAATCCTGAATATACCACAGTTCCCACCCCTAAATGTTTCCTTTCCATAGATGCTACCTTTCCAGATTCCTCTTCACAGTGCTGATACTCCCGGAACCTAGGATCTCACCATGGAGGCTCTGTTTGTCTCACTCGTAACCTCCTTTCAGTCCCTCTTTGCACTTCCTCCTTTTACCACCCACCAATCCAATAAACCAGTCAAAAACTAAAAAGTCTTTAGAAGTAGATATTGGGGCAGCGAAGTGGTGCAGTGGATAGAGCTCCAGCCTTGGAGTCAGGAGGGCCTGAGTTCAAATCTGGCTGCAGACACTTGACACTTACTAGCTATGTGACCCTGGGGAAGTCACTTACCCCCATTGCCTAGCCAAAAAGCAAAAAAAAAAAAAGTAGATATCATATTGGACCTAGAGTAAGAAAAACCTGAGCTCAGATCTTGCCTCAGATACTATCTGTATGACCCTCAGTTTCTTCATCTGTAAAATGAGAATAATAATAGCACCTACTTCACTGGGATAATATGTATAAAGTATTTTGTAAACCTTAAAGAGCTATGTGAATACTAGCGATTATTATTATTATCATCAGTGTTATTATTACTAGACACTCTCAGGGATGTCACTCAGATGTGTTCACCTCCTGCCCTCCTATCTTGCCCTGGAAAAGCATTAAGGGCAGGGTCTACGACAAATGAACATTCATTGAATCAAGCTGGGCTTAGCTGAGGGTGGGATTAGAGTAATAGTGATCTGGAACAATATTAATTTATAATGTCAAGTCAGAAAGTTTGTCTTTATTCCCTCCCTGTCAACTTTCCATTCAGGATCCTTTTCCTCCCTCCTGCCCAGGTGACTATCCACTAAGCTATTCTGTTGATGAAGTTTAAGGGAGAAAGGTAGGGAAAGGAACAAACATTTATTAAGTGCCTACTATATGCCAAGGACTGTGCTACATGCTTTACAAATATTATCTCATTTGATCCTCACAACAACCTTGGGAGTTAAGTGTTCTTATGATCCCCATTTTATACTTGAGGAAACTGAGGCAGAGAGAAGTTAAGTGACTTGCCCAGATCCACATAACTAGTAAATGCCTGAGGCTGTATTTGACCCCAGGTCTTACTGACTCCTGGCCTAGTGCTTTATCCACCTAGGTTTAACATCACCCAAGGGTATTTGCTTTTTAAGAGGGAACTCTTGCAAAACTTAAAGGAAGAAAATTACAGAAAGAGAATAACAGTCAATGACATTGGTATATTGAGGTAGGGATCCCTGTCTATGGAGTACTCCCTCTTGTCACACCAGATAGACAAGCCATCAGGCAGCCACCTGGACCTTGTGAGGCTGACCAAGGTCCTAGATAGAAGGCTTGGTGGGAGTTAAGTGCTTTTGGAAAGAAAAAGAAAAAAAAAGCAACCTGGGTCTTATGCACAGGAAAGGGAAAGAAAGAGGAGCTGTCCATGCTTAGGACATGTAAAGGACAGCCTATATTAACTTGGGCAAGTCACTTCCCCTCTGTGGACTTCAATTCTTTTATTTATTTATTTTAGCTTCTTTTCCTTTTTTCCGTTTTTGTTTTCATTTGGTTTTTTGGGGGGTTGTTTTTGTGTGTGTGTGTTTTTGGTGACGCAGCTGGGGTTAAGTAACTTGCCCAGGGTCACACAGCTACTAAGTGTCAAGTGTCTGAGACCAGATTTTGAACTCAGGTCCTCCTGATTCCAAGGCCAGAACTCTATCCGCTTCACCACCTAGCTGCCCCTTTCTTTTCCTTTTTTCAATGAACAAAAATCTGTTTTTACTCCTTTCTACTCTCCCCTCCCCCAATTCAGTTTTCTTATCTATAAAATGAGCAAGTTGGACCAGATAACTTCTGGTAACCTCTGAGGTTGCTTCCAGCTCCCCATCAGCGATCCTATGAGAGACAGTGAAGGAGCTGCTGCTCCAGCAGCTTAGGATTCCAGTCTGTACGGTTTGAGTGTACGGTTAAAAACAAAAAACACCCAATTGGCCAAGCACAGCCCTTTGCCCACTAAGGACTCTTTTCTCTACGGAGACGTGATAGTTATTCCCCTTATGCAAAAAAGAAAACTGGAGTTCAGTAACTCCCAAAGATTCAGACAGTCAACCCACTATGTCAAAGGTAATGTAAGAGCTGAGGATTTAAAAAAAAAAAAGCAATCCCTGCCCTCGAGGAGCTTACTTCTTCTATTGGGAAAGAGACTATGTACATAAAGATACACACAACATATAGATACAAGACTGAACCCAGATTTTTTGACTCTGTAATACTTTTTTTTTCCATGATGCCACATTGCCTCCTGCAGATATGATCCAGGGGGAATCATGCATAAACTGGGTTAATTTATCTTGCAGCTGAGAGATCTCTGAGAGATTGGGATGGAAAACAGGTAGGTTCAGAATTGGTGTGTATGAGAAGAGGGTTAGGAATGGTTTAGAGCAGGGGGTAAAGGGCCCGATGGATGGGTCTATGGGTCTGAGCAGCCAGGTATCAGCAGGACATTCCCAACAGAATTTTGATGAAGGACACCAAAGATCAAACCCAAAGATCAATCTCATAACATACCCTAGTGGCAATCCTTCTCAGAACAGTCTCTGACAGTAATAACGCTTTCTCCCTTTTGCCCCTCTAGTTCCTGGCGTTCGACACACAGCTGTTGATGGGAAACCGGCGCTATTCCTTGAGCCCAGAGGAATATATTTTTGGGGCACTCAACATTTATCTGGACATCGTCTACATCTTCTCCTTCTTTCTGCAGCTTTTTGGCACCAACCGGGATTGAAAAGGCTTTCCTTTTTCCAACTCCAAGAAATGCAACCCATTTGTCCCCCCTTGTAACATCCATCCCCTGCTCTTTCCCAGCCCCTAAGATATAGCACTAAGCATCATCCTAGCCATCATCCCTCTGCCAACTATACTCCGTCTACAGCATCCTTGGAGTTATTTTCTGTAAGTTGTATATACGTGAGGAATTCTGGAAGCCTAAAGGACTGGAGTCACTAAATTTCCTGCTTCCCTGCCTATCAGGACTCTCATTTCCATTTCCAAATGTGAGATTGTAAATCCAGTGTACTCCCTCTCTCCTACCTTAGTTTTGGGGTGTAAGAGTCCAAGGGACAAGGCAGACAAGGATGTAGGAACTTAGATGTCAACATAGGGACCCAAGAGTGAGCTGAATCCTGAACCCCAGAAGATTTGGGAGAAAACTGTTTTCCCTCTTTGTTACTGCCCTCATCCCTACCTTTCCCTGGGTCAAAAACTGAAGCATTTTATGAACGGGGATGAGTTGGTGTAAGAGGGTAACATAGCCTACCAAGATTCACACCCTGAAGATACACAGAAGCAGCATGGTGTAGCGCGTAGAGTCACGGGACCTGGGTTTGAGTCTTGTGTGTCTGCTGCATGCTACATATATGACCTTAGACAAGACTCTCGGCCTCCCTAAGCCCTGGTACCCTAAGTATAAAATGAGGGCCTTTCTAGCTCCAAGACTATGAGCTTGTCTGTGATATTATTATACTGGGGAGAAGGAAATGAGGAATCCTGTTTAAAGAATGGCTGTCCTTAAAATGGCCCTTCATTGTACATGTGGGAGTTTCAGTTAGATCTGTGATTGCATTTCCAACACGATGCTAAAAAGATGCATGTGTAGAGTTGGGCACCCTGGAGTAGCAGAGGCAGGGAGAAGTGAGCCCCTGCTAAGAGTCTCGTCTAAAGGTCTGCTGGGAGGGCTCTGATAGTGAGGTAGGGAATAGATGAACCAAGCCGAGTCACATATCAGAAGGAGATCACAGCCTAAAGAAATAACAAATCAGTGCCCAGATACACCCAATCAAAAGGGATATTTGAGAGGTGCAGAACAGCCCTTGATGTACCTTCTGCCTCCCTGTGGCATAGAGCTGGCTAAAAGAATTGAGAGTCATTTCCCTTCTAGATCCTCCAGTTGTCTTCCTAAGATTCTAGGGACTGGAGAGGACTTGGGATTGGTGAATAGTACAAAGTAGAAATGGTTCCTGGGCCCTGAAAGAGAAGGAATGCTACCCGCTGGTGAGTAATAAGGAAGAGCCTTTAAAAAAAAAATACTGGTTTGGGTGGGAGATAGAATAGCTGCTGTGCCGAGATCCCCAGCAGGGGAACCCCTTCTCCCTCCCCCCATCCTGGAGGGGCCGCCTCTCTGCACTCCATTTCCCCAAAGTGCCTCCCTAGTTTGTTGTCTTGCCAAACAGTGAACCCAGGTCTTAAATGCCCCAGCCAGAGCCTAAATCTACATACTCCAAAGAGAAGACACTTCTCATCCTTCCCAGCTTCCATTCTGTCCCCCTCTTCAAGCCAGGTCACCCCAACCAGCTGCTTTCTCCAACCTCCCCTGAGGGGTCAAGTGTGCTCCCTCTCTCTCCTCTTTATCTTCCCATCTCCTTGGTTTGGAAACTGGCCAGCCTATGGCTAATTCAACCAGGCCCCTGATAAGAACCGGGTCCATGTGATGAGGCTGGGGCCCCTTTTCGCCTGGGCGGTCTGCTGGGATCCTGGGCAGGTGCCTGCGTCAGCCACCTAGCCTCTGGCAGTATAGCCTGCATATAGGAGGGGACTCAGTTAGTGAAGCCTGGGGGAGTGGGGGTGGAGAGGGAAGGAGCTGGCTGCTCATTCATGCTGTGGTGGCTCTGGTACCAGTGGAAAATTACTGGATGAAATGTTGAAGCCCCTCGCCCCAGCCATCCGAGTTCCTTCTTTCCACCTTTCCTTCTAGCCTCTTTTTTGCATGCTCATTCTGCACAGTATGCCTGTTGCATGAGCAAGAGCTTCCCTGGGCTTTGAGGCTGAGCTAAGGTTTTCCATTCAGGGAAGGAAGTGGGATGTACTCAATTCCCCATACTACCCCTTGACTCCCACCCCTGAAGGCCCAAAAGGATTGAAAGCTTTATGAGTATTTGAGGGGCAAAGAGCAGGAAGCAGTTAGCTGAGCTGTGACTAGAGTGGGGTGATTGAGATTCTCAGATTGGTACAAATTTAGAGGCCCCTCACAGCATTAATATTTCTTCAGCAGGGTAGAAACAACTGAGCTTAGGGCCCAAGTAGCAAGAACATGGGGGCAGCTGGGTGGCACAGTAAATAGAGCTCCGTCCTTGGAGTCAGGAGAACCTGAATTCAAATCCGACCTCATACACTTGAAATTTACTAGCTGTGTGACCCTGGGCAAGTCATTTAACCCTGATTGCCTCACCAAAAAAAAAAAAAGTTTAATTACCAAATAGCAAGAACAGTTAAACCAGAAAGCCACCTAAAGGTGTACTTCTTCCATAGGCACCCCAGGTGAACTATGCCACCCAAAGCAGAGAGGCCTTACTGTGCCCTAGAGTTTCATTCTTACCTTCTGAGGAACTGGGTGTTTTTAATCCTGTTTGCCCCATTTTGCAAAGTATAATCCGGCATAAAAAAATGCTGTTTATAGCTCTGGGAATCAGAATGGGTGGGGTAGCTTGTGAGATGTGGCCTGGGGAACCTATGTTCCCCACTCAGGAACACTGGGGAAATCGATGCCCTTTTTGATTATTCGAATCTTCTGATATCCCTTTTACTTTCCATGGAGAGATCTCCCAGCCCCATCTGCCTGAGGCTGGATTGGATCCTTGGTTGTTAGACAAGTCTTCTCCAAGCTCTGTGCCTCAGATTCCCCGTCAGGATGAAAGACTAGAGTGTTGGAGACCAGAATGGTAGGTACTAGGAAATTTTGGATCTTGAAATGATTGAAAAATAAGATTTGTCATTTAGCTGCTGCTGGTAGGGATATCTCTTGCTTTCTCAGTCTTCACTTCCCAAAAATGGAGCAAAAGATTTTTCCAGAATTGAGTTCTCAACATCTAGGGAGAGATCCAGTCTATCCTCAGTTTAAAAGCAAACAAACAAACAAAAAAAACACACACCCCTATCAGAATGTGACTAGGATATAGAAACCAGTGGAAATCATGGGAATCACTGCAGTTCCTTTCTTTGTGTTTGTTGAGCTAAAACCACGTGCTTGATTCCTTTGTGTGCTATGGGAAGGAGTCTGAAGTTTTGAATGATCTCAGCATTTCGGGAAAAGAAACTGAGGCCCAAAAAGGAGTCAAGTTTACAAGATTAGAGAAAAGGATGCAGGTAGCCCACCTCCCAGGTTTTTTTTCCTCCCCCGGGGAAAGACACAGGAGCTGGTTGTAGTCATGAAAGACAAGCCCCAGAAACACCTGGATGAACCTTTTGAGGAGAAAGGGTGAGGAAGCAGGAATGCAGGATTACAAGAAATCAGAACTGGGCAGGTGCCATAGGCTGGAGAGGGAGAAGGGCCATTCCTGCCCCCCCCCTTTGTACCTCACATTTTTGTTGGGGGTGAAAAATAGAGCTGAGGACAGAACACTTTATTAAAAGACCAAGGAGTACCTGAGAACTTGACCACAGGCAAGAGTCCAGTCCAACCAGGGGAGGGGGAGACTATATTTCCAGAGCCAGGCTGGGAGGTAAGAGTTCATGGGAATCTCTGATGTCACTCCTACCAAAATCCTCTGCATAAATTACTGTCCAGTCCTGCTGAGTAAAGGCTAAAAATATAGCAGATCTTGATTTCTTCAGGATCATGCAGGGGAGACCCTAGGAATCCTGTTTCCTTGATTAGGTTTCCTGACCATTTCCCTCCCCCATCTCTTCCTACTGATGAGACACTTCAAAAGTTGCTGCCTCACCCTCCCCAATACCTACCTGAAAGTCATCAGCATCTCAGGTTTCTCACTATTAAGGGATGGATTTTGACAGCTTTGCTGCCCCCATGTGGCACCTTAGAGTAATACGGTCAGGCACTGACAGCTGGGAAAGTGGATTAAGGACCTGGGATCAGGAATCAGGGCTGATATGCCGCAAACCCCTCTAGCTTGTATACGTTTATTTCTCTGTTGCCTGAATTTCTCTGATGTCTACCCCGTGGCCGACACTTGTTCCCTTCATTTGCCTAAATTTCTTCCCATTGGCTGTCAATGCCCCTGGGACAAGAATAAAAGCAATTATGGTCCCAACACTTTTTTCTCTTGATTGATTTGTGTTACTCTCCGTCTCCTACCTCTGCTACTGGATGATGCAGGAAGGGGATGGGGCCCACAGAGGTGATTCACTTTCAAGTCACTTGGCTTCACTACAGTGCTAACACTCTCAAGTATATTATTCTTATTTTCAGCTATTATTACAAGAAAGAGAAAAAGGCAGATCACCTGCAGGCCCTAGTGAGCTTAGAATTCAGTCATTCCTCATGACAGTGACAGGTACATCACTTCTGAATATATTTGTGTTCAAAGTTCTGTAGTAATAATCACACTTATTGTTTTCTCATTGGATTGCCGCAGTCTGGAGAGTCAGGTAATGCAAATAGCAATAGTCTCATTTTGCGGATGAAAAAATTGAGTCTTGTAGATGTTAAGTGACTTGTCCCAAGTCACATAGCTACTAGGTGCCAGAGGCAGAATTTGAACCCAGTGGTTTTTCCATCACATCACAGCTGCCTGGTAAGATGATCTACAGAAGAGGAAGCATGGTCTCTACCCCTTAGGGAGTTTTCAGGTAGGGAAATCAAGTAAGTGCAGGCACTATGGTGAAAGGGAAAAGGACTGGGAGACAGTCAGCAACATTTATTAGGTACCTAACTGTACAAGACAGAGGAGACAGTCGGCAACATTTATTAGGTACCTAACTGTACAAGACAGGAGAGTCAAAGGAAATAGGAAACACCATCCATGCAAACATAAAACATGAAAACACTTACAAAGGAACATATTAACAATTATAAATTCATACGGCCTGAATTGAGTATAAACCCTAAAAAATATAGATTACTGGAGTGCCCAGAGTGAAAAGAACAGTAATCAGTGGTTGTTGTTTGTTTGTTTTAAAGGAAGAGATGTAAATAAATAGAGCATGCTAGATTGTTGGGTTATAGCATACAACATTGAGCTTTCCAACTACAATCTGAAAACCACTATAAATCCCTTAGAACCATGAGCACTGAACAATTTAGTAAAACCTCGAAGTTATTTTAATTTGCATTTCTCTCAGTATTAAATGATTTGGAACAGTCTCTTATATAGTTATTAATAATTTTCAATTCTTTTGAAAGCTATGTTGTTCCTCTCACTTGACCACTTACCCATTAGGGAATTTAATCAACAAGAATTGATTGAGCCCTATTATGTTCCAGCCAATGGGAATACAGATGCAAGAGGTGAAACTACAGTAATATGGAGAGAGAATCATTTGCAGAGACTGATAGAGAGAACAATAAAACCTGAGGAAGCAAATGTGGCTAAGCTAGAATGAGAATTTCAGGATATAAGATATCCCCCCAAGAACTGCAGGCATGCTTAACTCATCTTAAAGAGAAACAAAAGTGCTTGAAGTGTGATCCACTGCTGGTCAGAATAAACCAATTTATGAGAGATTTTCAAGCTGCAAAGGATAATGGAACTTGGAAAAACTCAAATCAGTCTAACCCCAGGACACCTTCCCATGTGTAGGCTTTCTGTTGTTCAGTCGTATCCAACTCTTTATGACCACATGAACCATAGAATGCCAGGCCTTCTATTTAGTTAATATTTCCATTATCTCTTGAAGTCTGTCCAAGTTCATGTTCATCGTTTCCATGATACTATCTGTCCATCTCATCCTTTGCCATCCCCTTTTCCTTTAGCCTTCGATGTTTCCCAACATCAGGGTCTTTTCTAATGAGTAACATCTTCTCATTATGTGGCCAAAGTATTTAAGCTTCAGCTTCAGTATTCGACCTTCCAGCAAACAGCCTGAATTAATTTCTTCAAACCAAGTAAAAGATCAGCTCTGGTCATCCAGACTCAAGGGCAAGTACCTACAGAGAATCTGCTGAGAGAAGAAACAGTAGACAAGAATATTTACCTGGGAAAAAGAAGGGATCATGGCCATCGAATGCAAAGACCCTGATGATAAAGAGCAGGTGAGGAAGTTGAGCTACCTTCTGCTCCATGGATGACCTGGATGAACCTAGGAGTGATGTGTGCATCTGAGAGGAATGCAGAGGCTTGAATCCATGAACA